GCACTATCGATTACACTATCGATCTCACTATCGATCTCACAATCGATCTCAATATCCACATCACTAATTTTCAAAGTGTCCACTGATAGGGATTTTTCTGGTGCAATATGAATCAGGAAGGCGCTGAGAGTAGCTTGAGCCTTCGGCCGCCAGTTCGCGATGCGCTCAGAAGCGTACGTTTTCGGACCTTCAAGTAGGGAGGCGGCTAGTGTAGATGATAATCTGGGCCAGGCTGGTCCTGGGCCTCCTGGCTTGGGACTGTGGACATACACACCGATCACACCGATCCTGAGCCCAGAGTGTGCATGGCCAGGGTCGGTGAAGCGGTCAGTTGACGTCTCCCGCAAAAGTACCTTTTCAGCGATGGACGGGTATTGTGTACAGATCGGCCACGCGCTAGGGGCACCACAACTATCCCTGGGAGGTCGCCAGAGCCCAGGGGGGGGGGGGACGGGGTGCCCAGGAGAGACCACAACACCAGAAGAAAGCACGGCACAGGCATAAACTTTGCGAGGCCCGCGTGGAGTTCTTCTGAGTCGGCGCTGGAACCCCCGTCCCCACACCTCTTCCCCAGCGCAGGGCGCGCGGAACGCGGGGAGGGGGGGGGGGGGCGGCGCCTGAGGCGCCGCAGAAATCCGCGCGCATCTCAAAGATTTATGGACACGCATGCCGCTGGAGGCCTGGGAGCACGGCTGCCTGACGTCGGTCCAACCAACTCAAGCTACTACCACCAGGTGCACTGGATAAGGAACGACACTCCTCGTTGGCCCCAAGAGCGCCTCGGCTCAAGAGGAGCGCCAGAAGGGCAACCACGGAAGGACCTCAGGAACATCGAGCCCCGTCCGAGCACGAACTGACAACTGTTGCAGCGCCTTGACTGTGCACCGGTCCTGGGCCCAGGATGAGCCGCCTGCCCAGGAGCAAGGCCTGGCGCAGCGGGTGCACAGCCGATGAACCCCCGAGGAGGTACGGAGGCGAGTACCCTGCTTGGCTCGCGAGCGAGCGCGCGAAGCGCACGCAGGGCTGGCCTGGAGCCAGGTTCGGGCCAGGCTGGCTTCAAGGCGGGCGAGGGCGGGGGCGAGGGCGGGGCGGGCAGGGGGCGAGGGCGGCGTCCAGGCCCCCAGATTTCCGACCTTGTCTTTTTTCTCCAAAACCTGTGGTGTCGGGTCCTCGTTTTGAAGAGACAACGCCCCGCCGTTCCTCTCCTCCTCCTCCTTCCTCCTCCTCCTCCTCCACCTCCTCCTCCTCCTCCTCCTCCTCGCCCTCCTCCTCCTCCTCCTCCTCCCTCCACCCTCCTCCACCTCCTCCTCCACCACCTCCTCCCTCCTCCTCCTCCGCCTCCCCTCCTCCACCTCCCCTCCTCCTCCTCCATCCTCCTCCTCCTCCTCCTCCCTCCTCCACCTCCTCCTCCTCCTCCTCCTTCTTCCTCCTCCTCCTCCTCCTCCTCCCCTCCTCCTCCTCGTCCTCCTCCCCTCCTCCTCAACTCCTCCTCCCTCCTCCGTCCTCCTCCGCCTCCTCCCGCTCCTCCTCCTCCTCCTCCTCCTCCTCCTCCATGTGACGAAGTCCAACCGACCGAAGAGTTCCCTCCCCTCCTCCTCCGCCTCCTTCCTCCTCTGTAGCCTCTTCCTCCTCCTCCTCCTCTCCTCCTCCTCCTCCTCCTCTTCTTCCTCCCCCTCCTACCTTCCCCTCCTCCTCCTCCTCCTCCTCCTCCTCCTCCTCTCCTCCCATCTTCCTCCTTTTCCTCCTCCACCCCCTCCTCCTCCTCCCTCCTCCTCCTCCACCGTCCTCCTCCTCCTCCTCCCCCTCCTCCTCCTCCCTCCTCCCTCCTCCCTCCTCTTCCCCTTTTTTCCTCCTCCTCCCCCTCCTCCACCCTCCCAACCTCCTCCACCTCCTCCCGTCTCCACCTCCTCCTCCTCCTCCTCCTCCTCCTCCTCCTCCTCCTCCTCCTCTTCAGATACCCTCTACCAGGCTGGCTTTGGCATTCTTCCACGCCCTAAGGACCACAAGGCACGGTGGCGGATCAATATCTCAAACGCTTCGGGCGTTCCGCCCGCTCCTGTTGCAAAGCAGCTGCGACATGCTTAGGGGGTCGCGGAGCATTGGACTCGGACAATTGGCAGTCGGAGAGTTTCTTGGGGCCTCTTGGGGGTCTTTTGGAGGCCTCCTGGAGGCCCCTGGGGCGCCTGTTGGAGCCTCCTGGGGCCTCCCGGGCGCCTCTTGGGGCCCTCTTGAAGCGTTCTTGGGCGCCTTGGGGGCGCTCTTGGAGCCCTCTTGGGCCGTCTTGGAATCGTCGCGAAGCCCCGGATGGCCATCGGAAGCGAAAAGGCGAGAAAACCCAAAACATTAATTCCCCGGAGGTTTAGGAAGGATTTTGACCTCCTCGGGGCCTCCTGGGGAAGCTACCTGGCCACTTGGAGCCGTCTTGTAGCGGTCTTGGGGCCTGTTGGAGCATCGTGGGAGCCGTATTGAGGCATCTTGGGGTATCTTGAGCCATCTTGGAGGTCATCTTGGGTTCTCCCGGGCGTTTTTGGAGTCATCGGAAGCAACGCACCTCCCCCCAGAACCGCCAAAAGGCCCCAAGACGCTCCAAGAGACCTCCAACGGGGACCCTTCCTCTGCGCGCCGCACGCTTCCCTGATCGAGGCACTTCCTCTGGGCATCGTTTCTGGACGGGCTGGCGGGGTTACTTTTTGATCGCGACCGCGAGCGGGCACCCGCGCGGCATCAGGAAGTCGCGTAAAGAGAGCAAGCCGGACGCAGGCGGCACGCAGGAAAAAGGGCCACAATGGTGGCGAGAACTACTCGGCAAGGGCGAGAACGAACAAGAGAACCAAGGGAAGAGAGCGAGGCGACGAGAAACGGCGAACGGACAACAGAGGAGAAAGAAATCGGCGACGAGAGACAAGGAAGAGAACGAAAGGGCAGAGGCCACAGCTCAGCCGTGGAACAAGTAGTAGATCGTCCGCACCTTGCAGAACTCCCAATACTTGTCGTAAGTGCGCATCCGGCAACGAGCAAACCCGGGAGGCGGTGCCGCGGGCGAGAACCGACCAACGGCAATGAAACGGGTAGTGCAGGTGCACCCTTGCTGAAGGTCGCGCAGTACCCCGGGCCAGCTCCAGGGCCAGGCAGGGGCGGGAGTATGGAAGGAGACTCCAATCCATCGCGCCCCGGGGGAAGCATGGGGTGAGGGGCGCCCGTCAGAGAAAGGCAGCAACAGCTGCCAGGAGCTCGATTACCTTCGAGGGAAAATCGTGGAAGCCGAAGAAAGGGGATCACGCACCAGGGCCACCAAGAAAAACCTGGGGCCCGGGGCAGCAAACGGCCGCGGTAGCAGAGAAGGTTCGCCTGAGACAGGCCGGCGCCCAGCGGGGGCGGAGCTGGCAGCCACAGGGCGATGGGGGATTGCATCGCCTGAGACATGCAACTTTCTGGTAGGGCGCAGCTAAGTGCCGCAGGAAGGTGGGAAGAAGTTTGTTTCGCCTGAGACGGGCAGGCGCCCAGCGGGGGAGAAGCTGGCAGCCACAAGGCGATGGGGGATTGCATCGCCTGAGACATGTAGCTCTCTGGTAGGGTGCAGCTAATAGCCGCAGGAAGGTGGGAAGAAGTTTCGCCTGAGACATACACCTGCCCAGCTAAGGCAGGAAAAGCAGGGGCGGACCAGGGGGAACGGGCCGCGACAGGGTAGGTTGGGGCGCAGCTAACAGCGTCACTATTCAGCCGCGTGGGACAAGCCGACACCTTGCCGGGGTGCAGCTAACAGCCGCAGAATGAAAGGAAAAAGTTCCACCTGGGACAAGCCGAAGCACGACCTCAGCGCAGCTGACCGCCGCAATGCGATTGGGGAAAATAGCGCCAGGGACGTGCTGGTAATGTGGTAAGGCGCAGCTAACAGCCGCAGGGAGATGGGAAGAAGTTTCGCCTGAGACATACACCTGCCCAGCGAAGGCAGGAAGAGCAGGGGCGGACCAGGGGGTACGGGCCGCGTCTGCTGGGTAGGTTGGGGTGCAGCTAACAGCGACACTACCCAGCGAAAGTGCCGCGTGGGACAAGCCGATGCCTTGCTGGGGCGCAGCTAACAGCCGCAGAATGAAAGGAAAAGGTTTCACCTGAGACACGCCGAAGCACGGCCGGAGTGCAGCTGATCGCCGCTGTGTGATGGGGAAAACAGCGCCAGGGATGTGTTGGTAATCTGGTAGGGTGCAGCTAACGGCCGCTGGGGGGTGGGAGATGGATGTTTTTTGCGTGAAACATGCCGAAACCACGATGGGGCGCAGCTAACAGCAGCAGAATGAGGGGAGTTGCGCCTGAGACAAGCCGCGGCACAACAGGATGGCCCAAGAGGGCTCCAGGAGCGCCCACAAAGCTCCCAAGAGCGCTTCAAGAGGGCCCCAAGAGGCGCCCAGGAGGCCCCAGGAGGCCCCAACAGGCGCCCTGGAGGCCTCCAAAAGGCCCCCAAGAGACCCCCAACAGGCCCCAAGAAGCTCTCCGAAGCACCCAAGACGCTCTAAAAGGCGCCTGGGACCACCAAGGCCCCCAAGACGTTCCAAGAAGCCTGCACGCGGGGACCCTTTCTCTGCGCGCTGCCCACTTCCCTGATCGAGGCACTTCCCCTGGGCATCGTTCCTGGATGGGCTGGTCGGGTTTTTTGATCGCGAGCGACGCAGGCAGCTGTGCGCCGTCAAGGTAGTCAGACGACAGGCCAACCTAACAGGACAGGCGGAAAGAATGGCGAGGATACTCTTTTGATTGCGAGCGACGCGGAAGAGGCCGCGCACCGTCAACAGGGTCGACCAGCGGAAAAGACGTAGGTGAAGGTCAGGCACAGCGCAACTGTCGCCGGCGACACGCGGGAAAATTGACAAGCGATGCACATCGGCAGCGCGGAGGCGGGAGCGAACGAGGACATCAGAAGAAGGCGAAAGAGAAAGAGACCAGGCAAGACAGAGAGAGGAACGAAGGAGAAAAGGAAGAGACGGCGGGCGCGCAGGGGATCAGGCTCAGGCGGCAAACAGGTCGAAGTACCTTGCCGAAGAGCAGGGACATGAAGTACTGAGGGGGTCGCGACACCACAGACGCACACCAAGCGCACGCGACATACAATCCAGCAAGCCGTCTCCAGGGCCACAGAATGGACCGGATGGCAACGCCCTCCAAGAGCCATCAGGGGAGTAAGCACGCCCCAAATGCGACGAGGAGAAGGACCGGAAGGGTAGCCCGGTGGCGACAGTGACAAATCTGCCCAGCCAGGGAGATGGACGTCAACCCATCGCGTATGCGACACAATGCGGGGGCACGCCGACAGTAGCCAACGGCCCGATGGTGGTCGGCGGATGGTGTGGTTATTTTTTTGGCTCGCGGCCACCAGCAAGCGCGCAGGCGGCGAGAGAAGTCGTCCGAGCCGACGGGCAAACCTAATTCGCTGCTGGGAGCGACCCAAACCGGCCAGGCCAGCTCACACGGCGGCCGCTGGGGCAGCAGGGCGGGGGCTGGCTGGCTGATCTGGCACCCAGGGAAGCTCGAGCATCGTGCAGCCCAGAGTAAAATGCCAGGGAATTCGGTGTTACGCGCTGCGGCGTCAGACCACACGGGTGGAGGTGCGGAAGCAGGTGGGTGACCTGCACGTGCGACCCTCTCAAACATGGTGTGGGGAAATGGTGTGGTTACGCGAAGCGTCTAGAAATTCTGAGAGCGTGGGCTTGAGCTCGCTCTTTCAACCGACGTTGGAAAAAAGGGAGAGCTTACGCGTCAGGTTCGGGAAAGGATAGGGGGGGGATGAAGGGGGAAGGAGCTGACGCCATTCAGGCCCAGGAGGAGGAGAGAGGGGGGGTGACGCCATTCGGGCCCGGAGGGAGGAGGCGGACCCAGGGTCGCCTCTGTCGGGGGGGAGGGGTCGGGGGGGGGGGGGGGGGGGGGGGGGCTGACGCCATTCAGGCCCTGGTGGGGAAAAGGGATGGGAAAGGGGGGGTGGGGGGGCTGAACGCCATTCAGGCCGGGAGACAGGGGGAGAGGGGGGTCGCTCTGTCGGGAGGGGGAGGGGGGGCAGAAACGCCATTCAGGCCGGGGAGGGAAAGGGAGGGGGGGGAGGCTGACGCCATTCAGGCCCGGGAGACAGGGGGGGGAGGGGGAACGCCATGAGGAGGAAAAGGAAGAGGGGGGGGGAGGGGGGAGAACGCCATGGCTGACGCCATTCAGGCCCGGGAGGAGGAAATCGGGGGGAAGGGGGGGGGCGGGGAGCTGACGCCATGGCTGACGCCACTCGGGCCCAGGAGGGGGATCTGGGTGTGGGGGGGAGGGGCTCGGGAGGGAGGAGGGGTGGGGTCGCTCTGTCGGGGAGAGGGGCTGACGCCATTCAGGCCCGGGAAGGAGGAGAGGGGGGGGAGGCTGTCGCCTTTCAGGCCCGGAAGCAGGAAGGGAGGGGGAGGGGAGGGGGGAACGCCATGGGGAGGAGAAGAGAGGGGGGAGGGGGGGGAACGCCATGGCTGACGCCATTCAGGCCTGGGAGGAGGAAGTCGGGGAGGGGGGGGAGCTGACGCCATGGCTGACGCCATCCAGGCCCGGGAAGGGGATCTGGGGGGGGGGGGCCCTGACGCTATGGCTGACGCCCGCCATTCAGGCCCGGGAGGGAGGGAGGGAGGGAGGGGGAGAGGAGGGAACGCCATGGCTGACGCCATTCACGCCTAAGAGAAAGTCGGGATGGGGGCGGGGGCTGACGCCATGGCTGACGCCATTCAGGCCCGGAAGGTGGGAGGGGACATCCCATGAGTTTGGCTGTTCACGCGAGATCGTCACTTTCGAATATCCGAAGGTTGTCCAAGCGAGTTCAACATCTCTAAATCCCACCAGCCCTTTGGGCGTGAGTGGTTTAGAGAGCTCTCTCTGTTCTCAACCCCCCTTCTTCCCCTTCGGGGAGGGGTTTACCCCTCCCCCTACCCCCTCCCCCTGGGCCTGGAGAGGGCGCCTCGCGGGTGGTCAGAGGGGTCTTTTTCGACTCCTGGGAGGGCTAAAAAACGACATCCCTCACGAGGATTCTGGCCCCGACGGGGGGAGGCAGAAAAAACCCTCCCCTCTTCTTTGCCAAAATCATTGATTTTACCGGTTTTGGCATTTTGGCCTTCTGAGGGGGCAGCGTTCATTAAAGCTCCCCTCTTCTTTCAAGCCAAAATCATTGATTTTACAAGGGTTGTGGCCTCATTTTGCCCTTCTGCGGGGGCAGCGCTCATTAAAGCTCCCCTCTTCTTTGATCGATTTCCTCCAAGATGGCCCCAAGAAGCGCCCAGGAGGCACCAAGAGGCCCCAAGATGGCCTCAAGAGGCCCCCAGGAGCCCCCAAGAGCCTCCAAGAGGCCCCCAAGATGCCCCCAAGAGGCCCCCAAGAGGCCACAAGAGGCTCCCCCGAGGCACCCAAGACGCTCCTGGAAGCCCCTGGCGCCGCCAAGAGGCCCCCAAGACGCCCCAAACGGCCTCCAAGAGGCTCCCAAGAGGCCCGAAGAGGCTCCCCCAAGGCACCCAAGACGCTCCTAGAAGCCCCTGGGGCCGCCAGAGGCCCCCAAGACGCCCCAAGGGGACGAGGTGCCCGAACGCCTCACGCCACGAGGAGCCCGAACGACTCACACCAGGACGAGGGGCCCGAACGACTCACACCACGAAGAGCCCGAACGACTCACACCAGAAGGAGGGGCCCGAACGACTCACACCAGGACGAGGCGCCCGAACGACTCACACCACGAGGAGCCCGAACGACTCACACCACGACGCGGGCCCCGAACGACTCACACCACGAGGAGCCCGAACGAGTCACACCAGGAGGAGGGGCCCGAACGACTCACACCAGGACGAGGGGCCCGAACAACTCACACCACGAGAAGCCCGAACGACTCACACCAGGACGAAGAGCCCGAACGACTCACACCACGAAGAGCCCGAACGACTCACACCAGGAAGAAGGGCCCGAACGACTCACACCAGGACGAGAAACCCCAAACGACTCAAACCACGAGGAGCGCTTTCTCTCCCTCCTCCTCCGCCTCGTCCTTCTCCCGCTCCCCCCACAAGGAGGATGTACAAGGAGGCGGGAGGAAGGAGTAACAGGGGAGATATGCGGGGCCAAGCGGACACACGCCTGAAAAACACGACTGTCGGCATGCTTCGCAAGAGTTGCTGTTGTGAGATGGGCTGGTGGGGATACGCGAAGCGTAAAGAATTATGAGAATGTCTCGATCGAGTGCTCCACATTCAAACATGAAAAGGTCATCCGTTGCAAGAAGAATCGGTAGCACCCCGGATCGGCGACGCTGGCCTGAGGCCACTACAATCTGTTTGTGGGTCTTTCCAGGCGTGAGTTCTGACCAGAATCTCGGACGGACCCAGCCGCGGCAACATGGACGCATCAAGCGCGGAGAGAAGCGGAAAACACTGAAAACTCAAACCCCGATCCTCCTCCTCCTCCTCCTCCTCCTCCTCCTCCTCCTCCTCCTCAACATCATCACCGTCATCATCATCATCATCATCATCATCATCATCATCATCATCATCATCATCATCATCATCATCAGCATCATCATCATCATTATTAGCAGCATCATCACCATCATCAGCAGCATCATCGGCAGCATCAACATCACCAGCACAATCATCATCATCATCATCATCATCATCATCATCATCATCATCATCCTCATCATCAGCAGCAGCAGCATCATCATCTGCATCATCATCAGCATCAGCATCATCATCATCGTCATCACCATCATATCATCATCATGTGTTCATGATCCTCCTCCTTCTCATCATCATCAGAAGCAACACCAACGTCATCCTCATTAGCATCAACATCGACACCGTCATCAGTGTCCTCTGCGTTCGCTTTCTAGTTTGTGGAATAGTATCATCAGCATTTTCTCTCAGTGGCAATATCAGTAGTGCGAGTAACGACCGCAGTGGTATTAATGTTAGTACTGCTGTCAGTTAAAAATGGCAACACACGTAATATTACTGATACGATAAACAAGAAGAACACGGCTAGCAATACGAATCAGACTGATAACAAGAAAATGCGACGAATACCAATAATCATACGAATACATGTCGTAGCGAAGCCGAATAGGAATGGAATTCGTACATAATGCATGCAAATGGAATAGTACGAGTACGAATACGTATAGCAATTACAGACATAGGAATCAGAATGAAAACTTTACGAATTAAAACTACAACAATAAAGATATGAATAACAATGACAATAAGCCTGAGACGTACCCAACCCATTTGCTGGCCCAACCTTGCCAGGACAATGACAGTGCAGAGGCCGTTATATGTTGTGAAAGCTACATGGGACGCGCTCACGTGGCACGAATCACCGGACAGCAACAGAAGGACGAGGAACGAAGGCCCAGGCTTGAGGAAGACACGGGGGCGGGAACGAAGGGCAGGACAAGGACGCGCGGGGGACCGAACCGTCAGCGCGGCAGCAGCAGAAGGAATGTGGCAGGGGGCAGAAGACGACGACGAAAGTGACGGGAGGAGAGCGAGGAGAGTTGTTTTTGTCGGCAGTGCGCTAAAGATGCAGCGTTGTCTGCGCCGTGTCGCCGCGGCGCTAGAAAAACTAATGATTAACCATGTTTATAGTCAATGCAAGAAACGAGCGAGGTTTAGCTCGCCCGCCAGCTTCTCTGCTTCCTTCCTGACGATCCCAGAACTCGAAACAACCACCAGGTAAAAGAAAAACCCGTCATCCCGCTGGACCCCGGGGATTGCGAGGTCTCCTGGTGATCTGCGTAAGGCGTCACCCCGCTGCACCCCCCAGCAACCTTCGAAAGTGGCGAGAGTTTCGCAGAGCGCAGCCCGCCAGGGATGGCGAGGTCTCCTGGTGATCCGCGTAAGGCGTCACTCCCCTGCACCCCCGAGCAGCCCTCGAAAGTGGCGACATATTCGCAGATCGCAGATGCCGAGGTCTCCTGGTGATCCGCGTAAGGACGTCACCCCGCTGCACCCCCCGGCACCCTTCGAAAGCAGCGACAGTGTCGC